TCAGGCCATAATAAAAACCATTCTCCTTGTACCCTTCATCAAGTCTAGGCTGATGTTTGGTTATACCAGAGTTATAACCACTGCTTCACTTGGGATTTGGGAGAACTTACAGCGAATATACTCAGTCAGAGTATAGGGGATACTATCTATGCACCTCCAGGCTTATTGATTTAAAAAAAAAAAAAATGTTTTTTTTGTTTTTTTACTCCTCTTTGAAATTAGTTGAGGTAAAGTTGACTTTACAAACTATGTAAATGCTCTTGCTGCTTCAGTCTCTCTAACACTGTGGCATGTATCCTTTCATCTACACTCACTACATACACTTTTTCTCTGTCCCAGACTGTTTTAACAGGAGCTTCTGCATTTGCCTTGGGCGGCATTTTTCAGGGGGCGGCAAAAAACGCCGCCCCCAAATGCCCAGGGCAAATGCCTAGTTAGCCTCGCGGCTAACTGACATGCCGAGTGGGCGGGCGGCGCTGGCAGGCAGCTGGCGAGGGAGCACTTCCCCTGAGCTGACTGCTCAGCTCCCTCGCGCGCCGCAGAGTGAGCCTGGGAGCCGGGTTGATGACGTCATATTCCCTCGCCAGCCAACCGCACAGCAGCCAGCGCCACCCAGTCCGACCGGCAGCCACTGGACCACCAGGGAGAGAGAGACCCCCCCCCCAGCACTCCCAAAGATAAGGAGGCTGGGGGGGGATTAAAAAAAAAGTTAATGTGAGTGATTGTGTGTGTGTCTGACTGTGTGTGTGTGTGTTTGTGTCTGAATGTGTGTGTGTGTGTATTTGTGTCTGACTGTGTGTGTGTGTGTTTGTGTCTGATTGTGTGTTTGTGTCTGTCTGTGTGTTTGTGTGTGTCTGACTGTGTGTGTGTATTTAGAAGGTGGGGCGGGCGGGGGGGAAGGGTTGGGTGGGGGTGGGCCTAGGGCAGCACAAAACCAGGACACACCACTGGCTATGGTACTATCCTTAGAAACAGTAGGGTTAGCACATCATTAAACAGATTTATGCCAAGCTCAGGGTGCTGTCTGCACAGTATGTCATTGGTTGGTCATCCTGCATGATTGGCAGTCAGCCTGATGTGTTTTCACACCAGGCTGACCATCTAATTGTTCGTGCAGACCGCCCCCTTTTTGGGCATGTTTGTCCCTTTGGGCGGTTCTGGGTATATTATTCACATCAGTGGACTACTCTTTTACCTCGCTCACCAAAATTCTGCTTCACTGGACACTGCTGTTAGGGGGTATGGATTTACTTGAAAGATGAAAGCGAGAGATTAGCATAGGGTATGTGTTTTCTGATAGCTATATCCTGTCAGTTTCCCTCCAGCACCACCTCCACCAGATACATGACGCTTGGGAGGTATAACTGTTTTAGTGTTTTCTGTCGATAAGATTCTGTAATTAGGCCCATCATAATTGTTAGCAACAGGCCCTATGAGGCCCTATATCTATTATCTACCTTTCTCTATCTCTCTCTATATTTCTAATCTATTTGCGTGACTTGCACAACACCTTCTTTATAGATGATTTGTTTTAAGTTAAAGATAACTTTTCACCTGCAAATCTCTGTCCGACCATCTCTCTATTATATTTTTTCACACATGTATGATATTACAGAACATTAAATGGACCCCCTTTTTCATAACCATTTAAATTCTACAGTTTAAATATTGCACTACTATAATTAGTAACTATTAAGTTTTGAGGTGAACGCTTGACTACTCTTGGCACTGGTATGAGTTGACTCTCGGTAATTGGCAAGACAAGTTGGCACAGAGTCATATTCTCAAGAAAGTAAGAGATCAACTATGTTTAAACTTTCTTTTTAACTCAGTCAGTGCCAAGATAATGGAGATGGATTAACAAATATATTTAGATTCATAGCAGGAGAAGACTTTAGGGATCGGTTAAGAATAATTGATTCTGCAAAGGAAGTAAAGGGTGCGCTTGAATACCAGGTGCCAAAGTACAGATCCAATATTCTTGGCAATGAAATAACATGTTTGAAACATAGACTGTACTATTTCATTAGCAATTAAACCCAAACAATGTACTTTTTTATAGATTTTTATGAATGTATATGTTTGAATGAATAGTATCTATTCAGAAGAGAGTTCCAGTTGAACTTGCAGGACAATCAAAGTTAACTAATTCAAAATTGCTTGAAGAGGACTAAGAATTCATGCATTCTTGTTTCTTTACTCCAGAGTTTTTTGTCACTTGACACCATGACATTTGCAGACCTTCTTGACCGTATTGGTGGGGTTGGCACTTTCCCGATACTCCACAGTATACTACTGGCATTTCCAGTCTACATGGTGGCCTGCCATAACTTCTTACAAAACTTCACTGCCGCTTTCCCTGCTCATCATTGTAAACAAAAACCTGGACTTAACATCAGTGGAAACATCTCCTATGAAGAGCTGATGAGGGTGACAATTCCACTGAATCAGAAGGAGCTGCCAGAGAGGTGTCGGAGATTCTCAGAGCCCCAGTGGATGATGCTCAACTCCAATGTCACGCTGGCCAATATTTCAGATGCTGAAACAGAAAGTTGCCTCGATGGATGGGTCTATGACACATCAGTTGTCAGATCATCTATTATCACCGAGGTGAGACATCAATCTATGAATCCTTGTACATACTAGTTTTCTTGCATTCTAACCATAGAAATTCCTTTTGATTAATTTTGTGAAGTGCCAGGCTTGAATGAAGCGTCTCTTGTTTGATAGGTTTTTATAAATTTGTTGTGTTTCTAACCTCTTCTGCAATTATTTAATTTCTGTATCTTTGCACCATCCCAAAAACATTCATTTTTACCATTTATTTTTCACAGTGGGATCTGGTATATGATCTGAGTTTCATGATACAAATGGCACAGTCTGTGTACATGGTGGGGGTTCTGCTTGGTGGTGCAGTATTTGGTGATATAGCAGATAGGTAAGAAACCATATGCTTTAGAAATACTAATGCTCAAATCCATGCCTTTTGATGTTGTTGTTCTGGTGACTATAGTGTCCCTTTAAAGGAACATTCAAGACCCTGTAACAACTTAATCTCAATTAAGATGTTGTGTAGTCTAGAGGTCATATGCACCAATTTACCTTAAAAGGATAAACCATTTTAAAACAGTTTAATCTTAAAGGACCACTATAGTGCCAGGAAAACATACTCGTTTTCCTGGCACTATAGTGCCCTGAGGGTGCCCCCACCCTCAGGGTCCCCCTCCCGCCGGGCTGGATGGCGAGGAAAGGGGTTAAACTTACCTTTATTCCAGCACCGGGCGGTGAGCTCTCCTCTTCCTCTCCGCCTCCGATCCTCCTCTTCGGCTGAATGCGCATGCGTGGCAAGAGCTGCACGCGCATTCAGCCGGACTCATAGGAAAGCATTTACAATGCCTTCCTATGGACGCTTGTGTGTTCTCACTGTGATTTTCACAGTGAGAAGCACGCAAGCGCCTCTAGCCGCTGTCAATGAGACAGCCACTAGAGGATTTGGAGGCTGGATTAACCCTCAGTATAAACATAGCAGTTTCTCTGAAACTGCTATGTTTATAAAAAAAAGGGGTTAATCCAAGAGGGACCTGGCACCCAGACCACTTCATTAAGCTGAAGTGGTCTGGGTGCCTAGAGTGGTCCTTTAAAGATGTCTTTATGGCCCCTTTGCTTCCTAATCCAGCCCCAGTACCAGTGAAGAAGCTTTGCCCTTGGACACCTGTGATAGACTGAGAGTGCCATGGGACACTTTCAGACTATCACTGGCATTACCTTACCTTGCAATGGACGGCAAATTAACATTCAACATTAGTAGAAACTGAAAAAAGTTCAGGTGACACACAAAAGTAAAATCTATACTGAAAGTTATAGAAAACCTTGACATGTTTTATTTTTATATATTTGAAAAATAATAAAAAATAAAATTATCCAAATAAGTCACAAAAGCAAAATACAGCAACTTGCTATAAAGAAACTCAGAATCTTCTTTCTGCTCTGCAAATTTGGTCACAGAACTGTCCTCATCTGGTCATATATGCAGATGTCGGTAGCCCGGACTCTTGTTGCTTTTCTGCCCAGCTTCCCGTGTTATGTGTTCTTCAAACTCATCAGTGGAATGACCTTCTCCAGCGTACTGCTCAATACACTGTGTCTGAGTAAGTACCTTGCACTAAATCACTATTCAAGTTGTATTACTAACCTAGAAAATGACTTTCCTGTTACTGGTCACTAAAACCAGAACCAGGACTGTCAGCTGGACAAAATATTAGTAGATAATAGATAATTAAATCAAAATTGCCATCAATATGTCGGAATATAGAGAGGGTTCATACGTAGATTCAAGTGATTAAAATAGCCTAAATGGCTCTTCTCCTGTCTAAAGGACTCTTAGACGTAAAGAATCTATTTGAGACTCAGGACTTTAATATAATCAACCATAGTATGTCCATGTCAACAGTAAAAGCGGTTGTGGAATGAGCCTTTAAATTAACTCCTGTAATCTAGATGGAAAAGACAATCAGTCAAGGAGGAACTTTGAATATTGGCTGTATATAAAGTAACACTTGTAGCAAAGCACGCTGTATCAGAAAAGCTACAATAAGAGTGTAGTTAAGCAATCAGCAATTTAGGATAACAGCATTTAGCTGGATACCAAGTAACATATAATAAAAGGAAAAAAGTCTACATGAAAATTCGTAGATTAATCACAAAATATGTCATAAATGATAAATCTTAGGTTAGTGGTTTCCTAAATCACTATGGGGTACAAAGAGTATCTGTTGCCCCCTCAAATACATACAGAGCCAGTCCAGATTCCTCAATCAAATAGATAATTCCAATCTAGATAGCATATCAGGAGTGACAGGAGGAAAAGGTGAAAAATTAGGAAATAATAGTGCTAATGTGTAGAACCATGCTTAGAATGCTGGTTACCTACACATCGTGAAATAGTGCCCTAGAAGTGAAAATAAAAAGTGAGTGAAAGTGAAGGAGAAAAACCTCCTTCAACCCGACGCGCGTTTCGGTGCTGTGATGCACCTTCGTCAGGGGCCCTGACGAAGGTGCATCACAGCACCGAAACGCGCGTCGGGTTGAAGGAGGTTTTTCTCCTTCACTCTCACTCACTTTTTATTTTCACTTCTAGGGCACTATTTCACGATGTGTAGGTAACCAGCATTCTAAGCATGGTTCTACACATTAGCACTATTATTTCCTAATTTTTCACCTTTTCCTCCTGTCACTCCTGATATGCTATCTAGATTGGAATTATCTATTTGATTGAGGAATCTGGACTGGCTCTGTATGTATTTGAGGGGGCAACAGATATTCTTTGTACCCCATAGCGATTTAGGAAACCACTAACTTAAGATTTATCATTTATGACATATTTTGTGATTAATCTACGAATTTTCATGTAGACTTTTTTCCTTTTATTATATGTTACTTGGTATCCAGCTAAATGCTGTTATCCTAAATTGCTGATTGCTTAACTACACTCTTATTGTAGCTTTTCTGATACAGCGGGCTTTGCTACAAGTGTTACTTTATATACAGCCAATATTCAAAGTTCCTCCTTGACTGATTGTCTTTTCCATCTAGATTACAGGAGTTAATTTAAAGGCTCATTCCACAACCGCTTTTACTGCTGACATGGACATACTATGGTTGATTATATTAAAGTCCTGAGTCTCAAATAGATTCTTTACGTCTAAGAGTCCTTTAGACAGGAGAAGAGCCATTTAGGCTATTTTAATCACTTGAATCTACGTATGAACCCTCTCTATATTCCGACATATTGATGGCAATTTTGATTTAATTATCTATTATCTACTAATATTTTGTCCAGCTGACAGTCCTGGTTCTGGTTTTAGTGACCAGTAACAGGAAAGTCATTTTCTAGTACTTCCATTTTGGGGTTATGCCCCTTGACACCACTGGAGTGTCATTTAAAGGTGTGACTGACCACTAGGAGGGTGGTATATTCAAGTCTGGAATAACCACTACCTTTGGCCTAGTCAATTTCTACTACTTTTTTTGTATTACTAACCTATACACAAACACCTTCCAAGTGTCCCTATTTAGGAAGTAGAGTCCCTATGTTCAGCCCAAATCCCTCTATCCCACTATTCTATCCTAATGTTGTTCTTTTCTAAGACTGCGTAACTTTTCTCCAGAGCAAATATACTCACAGCAATATGACTTTAAATTACAATAAATTTGTTTAGAAATCAGTGCTTGTACATAAGACACATTGTTTTTGTTTTGAATTAGTTGCAAATATTTTTATTAGTAAGTCACCTTAATTTTCTCTGAACAACCCCACTCTGGACCACCTCTCCAGCCACATTTTGAAATTAAAGTGTTCCTCTCTGTCCATTTGAAATGTTGGATGGTATGCACCCCCTCCACTCCCCAGCACCCTGCATGTTTTCTAAGAATATAGTTGACACAATATATTTTTTTTTTCTAGTGCTGGGATGGATGCCAGTCAAGGGACGCACCCTGACAGGAACCTTCATAGGTTATGTTTTTACCTCTGGCCAAATGGTACTGTCAGGCTTGGCGTACGCTATACATGACTGGCGCTGGTTGCAGTTCTCTGTTACAGCACCCTTCTATTTCTTCTTTGTATATTCTTGGCAGGTATATAATATCTGTTATATATTACGATAAATGATAATGTACAATTGTTTGTATCCCAAATCTAGCCTATGGTATTTGGCCTACTTTACCAGCAGTCACTCTCTTAAGAACCATATATTATATTTCCTTATATTTAAGCTGAATTTAAAATAGAGAACAAAGTCGTATAGCTGTGATAAGTTGAATGTCTTTTTTCTGTCACTTGATTCCAGAAGACATGGTCCAATATGCTAAAAGAATTCTGTTGCAAAATCCAACATAGTTATACTCTAAATGTGAATTATTGGGAAATCAGAGTGAATTTTAAGTGAATTTCAAGTGATATAGAAAGCTATATCAATTTAGGTATTTTGGCCTAAAAATGTTAAATTCATTTTGAAGTCACCTTGAATTCCCAACAATTTACACTTTAGTTTTTTGGCTTAAGAATCAATCCTGCTCATTATCCTGAAGAGCCAACACTCTCAAATCTGCAATAGCAATCTAGCATCTACCAAGTCCAGTTTTTAGGTTTTAAGATAAATTTTGTACTCATTATGATGCAACAATAGGTGACTCATTGTATGTTGCAGACTTCTTTAAGAACCAGCTAAGTGTAAAAAAGGGCCATGTTGTATTAGTGTATTGAGACTGTGTAAATGGTTGAATGTTTGCTCAGTAATTTGACATTCTGTTACATTGCAGATATGCGAGTTCTTAAAACTGCTTTGGCTGCTCTGGGGAAGGGATGCTGTGCGTCTGCCTTTATGTGTGCCTACCTGTATTCTGGAGAGCTCTTTCATACAGAAATCAGGTATGAAAATACATGATGAGGTTAAACCTTTTTTTTTCAAAAAATGGTAATGTGGTGAAAGAAAACTAATACAAAGAGTTGATAACAGTTGAAATGTAGACAGTAGATTGATAACCCTAGGGAGTTAATGTTGGTAAATCCATCCAACAATGCCTAATAAGAGGTAACACTATAGGATTAGTAAAGACCTAACCATATAAGAGTATCTGCACAAATCTAGACCTTGTAATATAAAAATATAAAAAATATAAATGCCTGGCTAGCCACACCTAATAACTCATCTCAGTTAAAGAACCACTCTAGGCACCCAGACGACTTCAGCTTAATGAAGTGGTCTGGGTGCCAGGTCCAGCTAGGATTAACCCATTTTTTTATAAATATAGCAGTTTCAGAGAAACTGCTATGTTTACAAATGGGTTAATCCTTCCTCCAATTCCTCTAGCGGCTGTCTCATTGACAGCCGCTAGAGGCGCTTGCGTGATTCTCACTGTGAAAATCACAGTGAGAGCACGCAAGCGTCCATAGGAAAGCATTGTAAATTAAGCCGAATGGGAGGAACGGAGGAGGAGAGGAGGAGGAGAGGAGGAGGAGAGCTCCCCACCCAGCGCTGGAAAAAGGTAAGTTTTTACCCCTTTCCTCTCCCCAGAGCCGGGCGAGTATGTTTTCCTGGCACTATAGTGGGCCTTTAATTAATACCACAACCAGCAATGACAAAAGGAGCTCTATGGATACTTTATAAAGATGTCATATCCCTTTAAATCAAGATGATACATTCTGCATGAAAATATATGTTATGAATAACTGTATGTGTAGTTCCAATAAGAAATCTATTGCCAAAAAAAGGCTTATTAGAATAATAATAAAATTAAATAGCTGAAACAGTTTTCAGGGTTGTATCAGTTAGAAGATGACTTTAGCCAGCATATTGGTTATTTACATTTTTTGAGTAGATATAATTAGATGTACCGTATATACTCGAGTATAAGTCGACCTGAATATAAGTCGAGGCCCCTAATTTTACCCCCAAAAACTGGGAAAACGTATTGACTCAAGTATAAGACTAGGGGGGGAAATGCAGCAGCTACTGGTAAATTTCTAAATAAAATTAGATCCCAAAAATATATATATATTAATTGAATATTTATTGACAGTGTGTGTATATAATGAATGCAGAGTGTGTGTGTGTTTGTGTAGTGTGTGTATATAATGAATGCAGTGTGTGTGTGTATATAATGCAGAGTGTGTGTGTGTGTGTGTGTGTGTGTGTGTATGAATGCAGTGTGTGTGTATATATAATGCAGTGTGTGTGTGTGTATGAATGCAGTGTGTGTGCATGAATGCAGAGTGTGTGTATGTATATGATGCAGTGTGTTTCTGTATGTGATGCTGTGTGTGTGTGTGTATGTGATGCAATGTGTGTGTGTATATGATGCAGAGTGTGTTTGTGTATGTGATGCAGAGTGTGTAACCTTGGTGGGGGGTGGGCATTTTTATTAGTATTTTTATTATTATAATTTTAATATTACATTTTATTTTTAATATTACTACATTTTTATTTTATTTTAATATTATTTAAATGTTTATTTTATTTTTTTCGTCCCCCCTCCCTGCTTGATACATGGCCAGGGACAGGGGCTATATTATTCCCTGGTGGTCCAGTGGATGGGCTGTGCAGGAGGGGGGCTGGCAGTGAGCTGTTACTTACCTTTGCAGCAGCGCCTGTCAGCTCCCTTCTCCTCCGTGCCATTCAGCTCCACTGTAAGTCTCGCGGTCTGAGTACCGCACAAAGCATTGCCATGGTAACCCGTGGCAAAGCTCTGACACCGCGGCTCTCACGAGATTTATAGTGGAGCTGACCGGAACGGAGGAGAAGGGAACTGACAGGAGCTGCTGCAAAGGTAAGTAACAGCTCACTGCCAGCCCCCAACAGGATCAATGTAAGTTGCCATAATACAGACAGTGACTCGAGTATAAGACGAGTGGGGGTTTTTCAGCACAAAAAATGTGCCGAAAAACTCGTTTATACTCGAGTATATACAGTATTTTAATTTTAAATATTTTTTTCTGACAGCAACCAAGACAGATAATAATATAATAATGTATTATGAAGTTGATATTTCCCTTACTATCTAAATTACGTTGCATTTATTCTTTGTACATTGCAGACAGACCGGCATGGGATTCTCAGATATGAATGCCAGAGTGGGTTCTGTTGTAGCCCCTGTAATTCATCTGATTGGAGAATACATACCCATACTGTCTGTGGTCATCTTCGCTACTGCCCCTATTGTATATGGAATAGGGGCTACATGTCTGCTATCCGAGACTCGTAACAGACCCCTAAGTGACACAATCCAGGAGGTGGAGGACAAGTCAGTTGGAAAGCACAAGTTGTAGAGGTGGACAAAACAGGCGCTATCTTGGTGCAAAGTGCTGTATGTTGAAGGCAAATTCCTTTGGTTTCCAAATTGACATTTTTCTTTTTTATCTTTAAGTTTTTAGTATATATGATTAAATTGACAGCGATCTAAATCTTGGTGGCTGTAAAGCTTTATATAAGCTGTAATTAGATTCACATATGAAGGTTTAACACACACAAGGCCTGATAGACTTTTATTTTTATTTTAATATATATTTGTGTTATTTACATATTTAT